AATGAATTTAAAATTATTATAACTTCCGAAAAATTGCAAAAATTCGAAAGGAATTGCAAGAGAGGGTGTGGAAGGATTTGTAGGTGATAGAAGAATTCTGTATTATTCGTGAATGACGGAAGTTCAACGGAGAGTATGGTCTCTATTTTTGAATTTGAGGTTATAAATAAATTTAGTATGAGGAATAGGATTGTCTATAAATTGGACTTTTATTATAAAAGATGGGTTTATGGGAAAACTTTTAGTAATAGTGATGAAAAATTGGTGAAGATGGCACTCGAGTACAGCAGCCCATTTGCCCTCAGGAATTTGATGATCTACTCCTTCAAAGAAAATAGATGGTTGTGGTAAAATAGGTATCTGGGATGTCTTATTCGGAAGTGGGAAAGGAAATGCATTCTAGCTGCTTTCCAAGTACAATTTATAGAGTGGAAAGGACACGGAAGGAGTTGGACACAGACAAGTTTCTTCGTGTTTCGTGCGGCTATCTTCGGGAAGTACCTCAGTACATCGAAAGGAGTGGAAAGCACAAGGGGATTGCATAGAGCGAAGAATTTGCTCAATAATAAGGTTTCGAATGTAGCCTAAGGATTTCCTGCAAGTATGACATTGTGAAATTCGGGGTCGACAATCGGGACAGACAACATAACCATTGGTGCATTGGTATACTGATAATTTTAAGTGGTTATAGCATATAGGGCAATTAAGTAAAGCGTTCAAAGCAGGGTCCATTGAGACAGGTGTATGCAGCAGAAAATGGTCTGTAAAGAAGAAATGAAGATGCAAAAAAAAGGTATATAATACTAATAGGGTAATTATAGCTAAGTATTAAGGATGTGTTTACATAAGGTTAGGTTTACATAAGAATGGGTGTGCGATCTCCCGAAGAAGGGGGAGATATTTCGGAGTCCCGTGCTATTGAATCGGATGCGCGTTGGACCAGTTCTATTGTGGGTCGGATGCGGCGGGGTTGCGGTCGAGAGTGGCGTAGCCGTAAGTAAATAATACTGAGGAGACCTCCTATACCAAGAACAGCGATGAAGGCTGACACGATAAAAATGGTAGTAGGTGTAGAGACTCGAGAAGAGGGTTTATAATTTGGTTGAGCCGTAAGAAGTTGTTCTAGATCGAGTTCCACTTTGGTTAGAGATTTGTCGGCTCGTAAGATCTCTGCATCTGTTTGCATCTCGGAGGTTAAAATGGGAAGTTGAGGTTGTGTGAGTCGAGTTTGGATGATTTTTAATTCTGTTTCATTGATAATATTCTTGATGGGAAAAATGATAAAATGATTCGTAAGTTCGAGTTGGATTGCTGTTTTCCTTTGGAAATGTAAGGTCAAAATGATGCCAGGAAGATACTCGACACAAGTTTCAGGAAGTATTATTATATCCGTATTGTTTATTTTAGAGATGGTGACTGGAGTGTCTCTGTTGCTGTTGGGGGGACATTTAATGGTTAGACTCATAGGAGTAGGAATGGAATAAGTCCAAGTTCCTTGGTTATCTATACGTCGGAAAATAGGAGAATAAGCCCTAATTAATCGTCGAGGACATAATTGATTAATAAATTTTTTGTTTCCCAGGTATAAAGAATATTCGCAGCTTTGTCTAGGTGATTGCTAGATAGGTACGCTGGGTGAGCACATGGCTACAGGAGTCGTTTGACATTTCATTAATTCATGATAAGATAATAACATATAGGATTGACGATTTCTCGATAAAGCGATTATTGAATAGAAATTGTTATAATAAATAAAAGATTGTATAGTGGGATAGTATACAGGTAATCGTACAATTTCGTAGATATCAAAATATCCTGCGGGAGTAATGAGAGGTATTTTGGCAAAACGGCGGAGTATTTTTGGTAATGCTATGGCTGTAATAGATGTCCATTGGTAGTACTTGAAGATTGTTTCAAGGCGGGGTGTTTTCAAAAAGGAATATTTTTCGGGTAAATGTAATTGTATCTCTTTAAAGGTGTTCAACAACACTTCTTTGGGAAGAAAATAAGTGCTAAGTCAGCCTTGTTCCAAGATCTAGATGACATTTCGGATTTCGAGTATTAGAGTTCGAAATTCTCTGATGGAGAACCGGTAGATCGGACTGCCGATTCCACTGCTAAATGATATTGTTGTTGTATTAATGTTTCTTCGATGAGGGTTTGCTTTTTTATCAAAGATTAAATTTGTTGTCGATTTGTCTTGGCGATTCGTAAGGTACCATTAAGTAAAGTAACCCGAGACTGAAGAAGGTGAGTAAATTCCATACTTGTTTCTGATAATTGTGCTATTTTCTCGTTGAGATTTTCAATATCTTCCGATGTGGCTGTTCCGAATAGGTATTTGAGGAGTTTACACCCAGCATTGATTAAGCCTCTTTTCTCTCGAGAAACGTTAGTAAAGGTTACTAAGGTTTGCAATTCCCCGTATTACGATTCATATTCGGTAAGAATGGCCTGTAGGAAGGTGAGTTCATCAACAGATAGAGACCATCGTGGAGCTGAAGGGTCATTTTGAGATGAAGATCGCAGTTGTCGTTGCACTAACGAGATTAATAATTGAATATGTCGCTTTAAAAGATACAATTGTTCCTCGTAAGAATCAAAAGCTATATCCAAAACAAGAATCCCATAATTGGCAGTCATAAGGAAGTTTCCCTGGTACACAAAGACAACACCTTTGTGTAGGTTATGAGGTTCCTCTCGTGGGTTGATATGAAGAGTGGCGACCAATGAGATGAGGAAGGCGATTTGGAGCAAGAGAGTTAAGTGCATGATGGGTTAAAGCCTAGTGGATGATGATATTCTAGAGGAAAAAAATGAAGTGATTAAACAGATGTAGAGAGGGACTATATAAGAGTTTTTCTTGTTATATTGAAAAGTTAGATATTTAATGAGCCTTGGGGTCAAGCTTTTTTCTCTCTCTTACGATTTTTTATCAAAACATTGCATTTTTTTACTACTATAGAGTTTGGTAGACCCAGGATTTTGCTCTATTCAATTTACACGTAATGGATATAACAATTATTGAAGTTCATTAAAATAAAAGACGAATGGAATATCTACATTAATATCTATACTAAAAATTTAAGGTACTTTCGTATAAAAAAAATTTGTGAGATCCGGAATTTTATTAACTAAAATTTTAATTAGTTCACTTTCGTTTATATAATGTATTGGCAGAAAAACTGATCTTAGCCGGGAATGTGTAAACCTTCCTGTTATAACTATCAACATTCCATTGTTCTGGCATAACTTGCAGCTCGTCTTTCAGAAAAGTTTATAGTTAGCATCCAAATTTCGTCACTTGTGTTAGGTCCCTGGAACACCTATAACCTTTAACTCATAGAACATCTTATCACGTAATGGAATTTCCTCACAAAAAGCTATAAAAGACCGATCTCACCCCCTCTCGGGGAGTCTCTTAACGAAAGCCGGACCGACGACATCGAGTCGAATCTCCGAACCCGCCGGAATTCCGATCTACGAACATCGATATCCGATCATTGCCAGAGTCGAAAACTTTTATAATTGTGCTCCTTTGGATTAAAGACGCCTATTCTTGGACATTTATGTACCTACATGGACTTAATCGTCTAGGACACCTACAAAGAGGTATGAAAAAGCGTGTAAACTCTCTCTCGAGCTGTTAGTAATTCGGTCTCTAAACCGCCTATCCGTAGTCAATTTTGTTCGTCTTAATAAATTCTTGTTTTCGTTTATGAAATGGCAGACTCCTTGACTCGTATACGCCCTTCACCTTATCGTCGACCCCAAAAACTCTCCCTCCACTCGCCTGACATTTGAGAGTCCCGACCCGATGAGACCGAAGGAAAAGTTAGCCATCTTGATGAGCAGGTTTAACGACCTGTCGACGGAACGGGAGACCTCTACTCTCACCGGCGGTTCACATATTGGTGTCACGGGAGTGGGGTTTTTGAGCTAAAAACCCTTAGAAAAATTATAGATTTATTAGAGATTTCTGATATCTACTTTCACTCAATAGTTACAACTATAAAACATGGATCTTAAATATTGGTAATAATATTGGATTACCGACTTGTTTACAAATTGATTAATTAAAACGGAGGTGTCGTTTTTCTTAATTGAAGCTGTATGTTAGAAGAAAGTACAATTATAATCACAGTCCAAATGAAAAATCATCACAACTCGCACGAAGTGCGCATACTGAATGATATCAACGCACCAACTTCTCACTTTCGTTCAAAAACGCGAAAATCGAAAGAAACTGTGGAAAAAGTTTGTAATGCACCGCGTACAAAAAAGGGAGTTACACAATGTTAGGGTTCAAGTACCAGGACTGGACTTTTAAAACCGAAAGCAGCAAAAATAATAATTTAACAACCACATATAAGTAATAGTTCACAATGAATATAATTTTTATTATATTGAAATAAGAAAAAACAATTGGTTAATTGTACCACCAGTTAACTAATTGAATATTTGACAAATTTACTAAGTAACAAAAAGAATCAACAATCACTTAAAAAATCGTATTTCATATAATATCAAATCCAAAAATTTCACCTCCACCTAAAAAAGAAACATACATCAAAGTATACAGCTTACGCTAATTGCTTCTCAGAGACATGTCTACATCGTCCGTCACCAAGAGCTACATCACACGGCTGTATTGGATGTGCCGTCTTTTATCCAATGTTCAGTGCAGCTCCGCACTGTCCTAATTTACATGATTTTGCGTTACAGGATCAGTCACTGATGCAAACTAAGTCTGCCTTTTTTGACTTTGTCACATGTGCTTAGGAGTTTGTCCCCCGAAAAGAAAATAACTAACTAAAAATAACGCCCAAGAACATAAAGTAACAGTCGGATAACTGTAACTCCTTTACAAGTTCTTATTCCTCAAAAGGTGACAGTTATGTGCGCTGCTATATCGTTATATATCGTCACATATAACACTTTATAAGAGAAAGTTTTTTTAAAACGATTGTTATGTAATAAATAATCTTTGTTTATGCTTCTGTTTTCTTAAAAAGAGACAGGACAAACTTTGTTTCGAACTAACGTTCATCAAACGCTCTCGTTCTCATCTCGTCTTTTCTCACGAGAGTTATGAGACATTTATTAATAATTTAAGTAATTACAGTTGTAAAAAAAATGTATAAAAAACTAGATAAAATTAAATTATGGAGTATTTAAACAATAATAAATTTGTAAAACATAAATATGAGAAAATAACAAAAATCATAATATCCGCGGGGTGGCGACATCCATCACCCCACCATCCATCCTGCCCACCTTGAAATCCCTAGATTTCAAGATTATTTGAGTTTTCAGGCAATCTACATAGCTGATTGATGTTTCGAGTAAATATTCCGTCCTTTGTTTTTATGTCGACAACTCTGACATGCCCATCCTTACCAGGGTGAGTTCTTATAATTCTAGCCAAAATCCACTTTGTAGGTGGTATATTCTTTTCTTTGACAAGAACTAAATCATTGTACTGCAGGTTTCTTCTTTTTTCTGTCCATTTTGGTCTATTTTGTAGTTGGCTCAGGTACTCCAAATGCCAACGTTTCCAAATGTCTTGCACCATGCGCTGGAGTAACTGCCATCGGGATAATCGATTCAACTTAATATGCTGAAGATCAGGTTCTGGTAAAGAAGTTAGGGCTTCCCCAAGAAGGAAGTGCGCTGGAGTTAATGCTGATAGTTCATTTGGATCTTCACTGATCGGTGTCAGAGGTCGCGAATTCAAACAAGCTTCAATTTGATTAAATACAGTGGTTAATTCTTCATAAGTAAGAATTTGATTGCCTATGATTCTTCTCATATGTTTCTTAGCAGATTTGATATTTGATTCCCATAATCCGCCAAAATGTGGGGAATGAGGAGGAATAAAGTGCCAGTTTATACCTTGATTACAACTAGTTGAAATAACTTCCTGTTTAGTACTGTCTTTATTCAAAAATTGCAGTAACTCCCGAAGCTCATTGTTAGCACCGACAAAGTTTGTGCCA